CCTGGTTTGGTTTCTTGATTCAGAACCCTTCTGGTTTGGTTTGTTGTTACAGAGATGACTCACATGGTGGTTCTTCCTATCCCCATCGAGGACCTGGAAGAGAAGGTTAAGCAGAAAAGCCAGAATGATGACGAGGTCTTCAAGGCTGAATTCAAGGTCAGTCAAAGATTTCATCTGCTTTGATCTGCTTCAGTTTCTTCAAGTTTTTCTTCCTCTTATCATTTTAGCATTATTTGTTTGTGAGTACAGATCAGACTGCAATGAAGCACTGAAATAGATCTAAATAAATACAGGACATGCTTGCCAAAATGGTAACTGCAGTATCATTATATGTACAACTGGTTCTCAGTAAAGCTTTTCTCAGCATATCAATTTGCTAAGCAGCATTTGTGAGTACAGACCAGACTCCAGTGGTGATGCTATGCACAGAAATAGGTCTAAACAAATGCTGGACATACTTTCTTGCCAAAGCGGTAACTGCAGCATCCTTATCTGTACAACTGGTTCTCAGTAAAGGTTTTCTCAGCGTATAAATTTGCTAAGCAGCATTTGTGAGTACAGACCAGACTCCAGTGGTGATGCTGAAAGCTGTTCTAGATTAGACAGCCCTGTTGTTGTAACGTTAATCCAACCTGTTTTGTTTAGATAAAGCAGTACTTGTAATTTTGTTTGTGTTTGTCAACAAAATGAAATGTTTGTCGTTTGTCTCTCCAGTCCATTCCTGAAGCCACTGGTGATGTCACCAGGGATGCAACCAATCTGGAATGCAACAAGGAAAAGAATCGCTACATCAACATTGGAGCATGTGAGTATTATTGACCACTTCCCACCAGGTGGAATTTGCACATGCAGGACAAGTTTTCTGGTGATTTTCAAGATTGTCCGTTTTCAAAATTCCTCAAAAATTCATAACTTCATTTACTGGATGCTTACAACCACACGAATGACTGTCTGGTGGCTACTCTAATCTGACAGACAACTTCCATTGATGCCCGAGTATTGGAGCCAGGCTTGCCACCCAGTAAATAAAGCCCAGATTGTGCAGTGTTATATAATTTCCTTTGTTCCCGAAATTGGCCCAGTGCATTGCTGAATGGCAGTGGTATCTTTTCAAATGCGGTCAGATTAGCGTGCAGCGGTACTGTATTGGTCATCGCTGGAGTGCTGGAGCACTTTTGTCCCCGTTGATAATCCGCGGGCGCTGAATGCCTCAAACAGTGGTATACTGTTTCAAAACAATGATGGATTACCTCCAGTAATGTCAGCTGAGAAATGTTGGCAATTCCAAGCAGCATGTCTTTTGCTCCGAGTACAGTCGTTTGTTACAAGACCCAGCTCCTTTGTCTGATTTCGGGCACCCCGGCTATGCATACACACTCAAGGTACCGGGTACTAGGAACCCTGGCACCCAGTGGTTAACAAATACTATTGGCTGTTAGCAAACCACTGAATATTCAGCATCTAGCTTGCTGGTCTGTGATTGGTGAGCAATCCATATTGCTCAACTTTAGGCTGGTCTTATCCCTCTTTAGTTTTCCAGTCTCTAATTAGCCAGGTATTTCAATCAGTGAGATACTTCTATTTGGTTCAGTGATTGGCTTAACCCTCCTTTAGTTTTACAGCACAAATATGCACAAGTGCCCAAGGTCACTCTCTTGCATGTTGATGCAGTGCACAACATGACACAGCTGTGCTTCTTTGAGGTGTTTACCAAGTGACCCAAAGAGTGACTTCAGCATAGGAGGGTTAAGCTTCATGTTAAAAAACACTGGACCCCTTTTCCAGTTGTTACGTGGATCATCTTAAAGAATGAGTTGGGTACATCTTGTTTCCTGTCTCCTACAGATGATCAAACCAGGGTGAAGTTGAGTGTCATAGACGATGTTGAAGGATCTGACTACATCAATGCCTGCTACATTGATGTAAGTTCATTCTTACATGAAGCAATTGCTGAGAATGTTGTCTGGTGTCAAATATTTTTTCATTGTTTGCTTTTATTCAAGCATTATTCTTCATTCACATAATGTAGGCGTTTTTGTTTAACATTGCCTTGCATTCATATTCATGTTCTGAAATAAGAGAGTGTTTTTAATATTTTCCATTTCAACAGGTCTTGGACATTTATGAGACTGTCAGAATCTGTTGATATCAACTAACGTTTTTGTTGTTTCATGTATATTAGGGCTATGAGAAATCCCGGAAGTTCATTGCAGCCCAGGGTGAGTTTTTAGACAGTTTATCATTTTGGTATTCCAGTGTTTCCAGTGAGGGCTTAGAGTTCTGGCCCTTCTCTGATTTTTTCGTGACTCCAAAATGCTGATTAACATGATATAACGGTGACTTTTCCAAGCTTTCTGGGAAGGGAGTCCTTTTGGTACCAAATCAAAAATTTGAAGAAGTTGGACAAACCTGGAAGAATTCACCGACACATTCACATTCAGAAATTTTCCTCGCCAATGTTCAGAAGTCGGTAATGCCCTCTTCTTGTATTGTAGGTCCTCGTGAGGACACGGTGCTGGATTTCTGGCGAATGATCTGGGAGCAGAACTGTGCTACTATCATCATGCTGACCAAGTGCCTAGAGAATGGAAGGGTAGGTGCTTTGTAGTCTGCCGGAGACCTAGGCATAGTGTGACTCACACGGGGTTGGGTTTGGATTATGGGACAGGTTGTGAGGACCTCATTTCAGATGTTAACCTGTGTATTAGGACATGCAAGGTCCTCAGAGACTTGAAATCATGCCGGTTGCTGTCAGCCTTGGCAGCTCTGCCTCACCTGTACTCCGATTGACTATTACAGATTTCTTTGCCTCTTCTCGCATTTGTGAGTATCAAAATAAGTTGATTATATATAACGGGTTTTGCCCTTGCCCAACATATATTAATAAGCACTGTATGCTCAGTGCTTGTCCGAGAGCTTGCGAAAAAACCTCACAAATTTACTCAGGTGGGACTCGAATCCATGACCTCCTGCTTACTAGTGCAGATGTCTTAACCACTCGACCACCGAGCTTGCTGGGGTCGGCTGGCCGGTCCGAGTGAAATGAGGCAGCGGGTACCGCAAACTATTTTCAAGATGTATTTTTGCGTTGGGGAGATGTTAATTATATATAACGGGTTTTGCCCTTGCCCAACGTATATTAATAAGCACTCTATGCTCAGTGCTCAGTTGACTTGAAGTCAGAGGTCAGGAGAGGAACAGTGTGTTAGATGTTCACTGACTCTTTGTGGAATGAGAGATATTGCATGTATGACCATATGTCCTGTCCTCGTTAAATGCAGGAGAAATGTGCAGAGTACTGGCCGGAGGAAGATGCTATCATGTATGATGACATCATCGTGACCTTGGATGACGTGGTGACCTGCGCTGATTACGTCATTAGGAAGTTCACCATGCAGAAGGTAAATACAGTGCAGTTAGGAGGTCATTACTGGACTAACCCCAAATATTGTTCAGTTTCCCACTTAGCAGAGAAAAGTTTCCCTGATAACTGGTTCCCTGCCAGTAAATTACTTGTGACTGGTTCCCATCTGTATTGTGCCAAGTTCATATTTGTTCATGACATGGAGGTAGGTCCGTGTACGTTTCTTTCATTCACCTTTCGATTTGAAAACGAAAATCAATAAGCAAACAAATCATTTTTCATTTTATAATTAAAAATTGAAAAATCCTAAAACCATCCCTTTCTGGTTTTTCGATGAGAAAAAGAAAACCAAGGAAAAAGATTAAAAGTCTTTTCTTTTTTTGTGTTAAAAACTAAACTGAAAGTAAATTCGTTTTAAATTTGAATTTAATTCTAATTTAATTTGACTGCACACTTAATTTCAAGGAGGCATCACGGAGGTCTCTGCTCACATCTCAGGATGAATATTACCTTTCAGAATGCGAAAATTTCCTTGTGGGCTGCTCGTTCTGTAATTTTAGAAGCAATGAATTCCTTGTATTCCTGTAATTTAGCCATGTTTGATTTGGTGACTTACAAAGGCGTTCCTTACACTACAAAATGAACATGGAACTGTTCTTCATTTCAAATAGTGGATTAGTAGGTTGTGATGTTATTCGTTTTCACATTAAAAAATGAAAAAAGAGCAGGATTGTTTTTCACTTTTAAATGAAAGACGAGAAATAACTCGCTTCTGTATTTTCAATTTTTTGCTTTTAAATCAAAAACATGGAATCAATTTGTTTTTTTCGATTCTCATTTTTTTGCTCTTAAATAGAAAAACTAGAAAGAACCCAGGTTTAATTCCATTTTTCATTTTCAAATTAAAAATGGAAAGAGATTGGCTTTTTGTTCTTTTGATTTTTGTGTACAATCAAAAAAATGAATGAACGAAACATATACGGACCAAGATAATGTCTTAAGTGCTGCGATGTATTAAGATTTCCTGTCTTCTCTTTG